AAAATATCGCTGCTTATTAACCTCACATATATTCTGAAGCTGATGCACATGGGCTCTTGTCTCGCAGGTTCGCACTGCCTATGATCTTTTCAAAATGAATTCAACCGTGGATCTTCTCTGCAGGTAAACTAATTACATAACTCAGAAGAGAAATGCAAAGTAAAATGCTTGGCTACTAAAACCACTCGCCGCGCGGATTCAAAGGGAGAGCGGCAGTATACATGTATGAAAATGCATTTATGTGTGTATATATACACACATATCAACATTTTGATGCCTATGAAGCAGGTTCTTGTAGTATGTGTATACACATGTACACATATGTAAACACACATGTATGCCTATACACCCAGACATTTTTTGGGGTGGGTCTTTGCGTAATGAAGCCAGAAGGCTCCAAATATTCGGGGATTGCTCTCCCACAGTTGAGGGGAGCAGTCGTCGTGAAACAGTGAAACTCGCTACCTTGCACGAACACGCCAACATTAATGCTGCAAAGACCCTTATCATATAGCTTCAAGACAGGATTGGCTTAAGAAGCTTTAGGACTTTAGGGTTTAGGGTTTAAGGTTTCATGAAAGATTTCAAGGTATCTCTAGATTATGTCAGCCAGTTGTTTCAGACGATAGCCAAATAGTCAAAGCAGGAAAGCGATAGCCTATGTCCTGAACTGTATATGCTAGTAGTCCTGGGTGCTGCTCACGTTCGCACTAGCGTTCGCACTGGGCCTCAGCGTGGCGGCGGGGGGGCGGTTTAAGGTAAGGGGCATCCGACTGTGCCATAGATTTGTCAGTTCTTCTTCAACTTGCACCATGGTTGTCCAGCACCGAAGTATAGGGCGGGAATCATTGGAATAGGGCTGAGGAGTTTTGGGATCAATTATGGCATTCTACTGGGCCTAGCTTTTGCAATACTCATAATCATCACAACCATCATAATAACAATAATAACTGGCAGCATTACTCACATTACTATTCTCATGTCGTTTTTTCATTACCCTTCTTATTATGCCTATTCTGTATTACCCAACCAAACAGGAATGATCAGAATGCAAGCGCAATTTCCACCAACCCCAACCCCTAGGGCCATTAACAGAGTGCTCCGAAACTCTAAACGCAACTAACAGGGTGGTGCTACAGGGACATCAGCAGTATTTTAGTAAAGGAACTATAGGTTAACCTCTGGGAGTCTACAGGGATTATATAGGGGCTATACGCCAAATTTAGCAGGTTAAAGGTTGCATACTCTACCACGAAGTTAGCGGGCCACATTTTCTAAAAATAGGTGTCCTATTAGTGGCTCATTCGAAATGTTGCTATGGGGGTTACTGTAGGGTTTCCATGGTATAATGGAATGAAGAAATAGAACATGGTTTAGCCGTTTAGCTTACAATAATGACCGGCTCCTAGATTCCGAGGGCATCCAGGAGCTCAGGCTCTGGTTTCATCACAGGTGGCGGGTCAACCGTCCCGTGGGCAATCTGTCCGTTGAGCACCACGTTGCGGCGTCCCCCATATGGAACTGGGCTCTCCACAACTTCTTCAAACCTCGCCCAGTGCTGGGCGAGGTCCCTCCGAAGTGAAGCATAGGCACCATCACAACACTCCAAAAATCGCTCAGACGCCTCCTGGTTCACAGAAATCCAACACCCCCTGAAAGATGCAGGGGGCTCTTCAAGCGCCGTGTGAAATCCAGTGGCTGCCACGCTTCCCCCAACAATTGGTGGAGAATCTGACCCGGCCGAAGACAGTTGGGAGTTTAGGGTTTAGGGTTTAGGGGTTTAGGGTTTAGGGGTTTAGGGTTTAGGGGTTTACGGTTTACATGCTCCGATATTTGGGCTGCCACTGTGACCAAATCGAATATAGAGGCCTTAGGCACTAAGGCTTGTAGAAATTGCTAAGGGTTTTGGGTGCCAATAAGTTTTGACCGAAACGTTTTGACCGGGTTTTAGCTTTTGGAACCCGACTTTGAATTTGCAGCTGGGCTGGCTGGGCTGGCTGCACTGGGGCTGGTGGGCTGGGCTTCGAGTGCCTGGAAGCCCGGGGGTTTGGGGTTGGGCTGCGCCTGGGCCTGACTCTGCTGGGGCGTGGGCGTGGGGGCGTTGGGGGTTTGCGGGCTCAAGTTGGAAATTGAACCGATTTCCAAGTTTTGAGCTTTTGATGTTGGGCTGGGGCTGGAGCGGGTTCCGCCTTTGTGTGGTTTAAGGAACTCAATGTGAACAAAGACACGCGATTTCCATGTACATTAGGGTCCCCTATTTCCGGAAACCCACCCCTTAACAACTACCTATACTCTTTCCGGGGTTCTTTGTTGTAAATATAGTATAATTTACCCCAAAACCCTGTCCGCTTCACCCCAAAACCCTATTCTAATTATTAAGGCCCCTAGATTAAACCCTAGGCCCTAAACCCTGAACCCTACAACCCACAACAAACCCATAAATAATCCGTCCCACGGGAGCCCGGCTGCGTCTTCAGCTCCTTCGTGTTTCCTTGGGAGCCTCCGACGGACGGTGCTGCGATCAGCGACGGTAATATCATAGGGACCCTTGAGGGGATAGGGTTTAGGGGGTTAGGGTTTAGGGTTTAGGGGGGTAGGGGACTACACTTCCTTAAGTAGGCCTATGGTCCTTATTTTGGGCATTAAGGCCCCCTACCTCCCCGTCCCGCTACCCCCCTAAGGGTCCCTATGATGATATGGGAGCCTTAATCATTGCTGTACCTAGAGCATCCATTGCAGTTCCTTTTTGTTAAACCAAATATCTAGTTGGGATCCTATAAGGTAACCGCAAAAAGGAACTACGATGGACACTTCTGGTAGACTGGGAAGTACATCTTATATTCGAGAATAACGAATACAAAAATAACCTTATATATCATATATATATATATACATAGCTAGTACACGGTTAGAGTTGGGAAGGAACCATGGACATGGATATTCTGTAAAAGTCTTATGACCCGTATACAGCATAATGACCCATGGCCGGACCATCAAGTCCCACTTACGCGTGTGTCTTAAAGGTTCACTGTTTAGGGTTTAGGGTTTCGGGATACGTAGAGGTAAGCATGTAGTGACGATGCACAATGGAGCTGCCAAAATGCTGTATCAGCTCTGGCACATACACAACGGCAAAAACAAGACAGTGGCAAGCCTATTCATCGAAGAAATGGAATTGTATTGACAGATGCTTTTAGTTGTGGTACCTACACTACAGACACAGTAGTCACATCGCGAGGTAGGCTCACGTGACGAAGCACACTCTCAGTAATATGCTGCCCTCCATAACCAAAATGGTCGGGTATTCAGGTATAGCATGCATTTACATGTGGACAAAAAGATGATATTGCTACCACCCAAACAGAGCTCTCTGTTTTATTGCAGTCCATCTGATGACAGCAACATCACACATGTCAGACCACAGCGGACAGCGGATGCTGCAGTAGCCATAACACCCGAGAGCGGAAACCCCAGGCGCAGTCAGTCCTAGGGCTTACATCACACGTTCTCAGCCGTCGAACTCCACTAAACTCCCAAAGCTAAGCTAGAAGAGTTCTTTCCCAAAACCAATTAGCCCCAAACTAATTAACCAACATAGTTCTCCTTCCGAAACCCGAAAACCCGGGCCCTGCGAGCCTCGAACGCGTGAGCCTAAACCCGAAACCGGCGTTACATGGGGGTTTCCGAAAACAGAGGACCCTACTGTAGAACCCTGAATAGTAAGATCCTTATTATTAGGAACCCCAAAAAAGTGCCCCAATTTTCGGGAACTGCCGCGAGGCCTGAGTTCTGCGAGGCGCGGTCGCCGCCACGGGGCATTTCAGCCTACCGGGAGGCAGTTTTCTCGACGTAGGGGGTCTTTTAGCTTACCTTTGGTTAGTAGGGAATGGACGAATGGTAGTAATAGGAGAGATAATTATACCCCATTCCTCCATTCACTACTACCAAAGGTAAGTTAGTTCAAACCCGGACACATTCAGTTCATAAGATGCTTGAGCCCGTAATAGCTACTAATAGCCGTGTGTTTAATAGTCCCTTGGTTTAACGAGCTAAACACTGATTGAGACGGAACAAAAGTAGGGTTTAGTGGCTCAGGTATCCAGAGTTTGGGGGCTTACTACATCGGCGACCTTCATGCCGACACTGTCACCACAGGAAGATCGAACAGAGCTACCAGAAGCCTGAAGCTCGCTACACCGCAACCGGCCATCGAAAATCCTAAACCCCCAGACTCCTACACCCTAAAACTCTCAAACTTACCCCAAAGCCCCGCCCGAGCCTCACAATCCCTCGCCCAGGTCTTAAAGCCGAAAACCTCGTCCCTTAATCCCAAAAGTAAATCCCACACAGCCTGCTAAATCTTGCTAAATCCATATCATGGCCCATTCAACCCACAAGCTAAATCCCAAAACTCTATGTTCACCGAAACGGAAAAGCATCAACTCTGAAGACAGCAAAACCCAAACTCTCTCCCAGAAACAATCCTTGATTCCCTAACACCCTAGCCCCCCAACTATCAACCCCATAAGCCCAAGAAGCCCTAAACCGTAAACACGAAAAACGCAACCCTCAATCACAGACAAGATGTAAGAAAGGGCCTCAATGATGAAGAGAGGGTTTTGGGGTTGGGGCATACCTGCTAATACAAAATTCAAAACGCCTCTAAAGCACCAGAGGGGAATACTAGTAAATGAATCAGATGCAGGTCTGTACTACCTTGGGGAGAGAGGAAGAGATAGAGAGAGACCTCTAACAAAGAAAGTAGATTTATGATATATTATCATTGAATTTCCATTGATCTAATCCTTCTACTTCTGTTGATGATCTAAATCCTGCATTACCTTAAGGACACTAAACTATGGGAATTATGGTATATTCCTTATTATGGGTCATGCAGGATTTATATCATCCTAAACCCTAAACCCCCTTATAGATCCCTGAAAGGAATCCCTTAAAGGTACCCTTATAGATCCCTTTAAAGGAACCCTAGGATTTATATCATCAACCGTTACAGCTCTTCCTCGCCCTCGGTGACTTCTCGTCGTCTCCTTGGCTCTCCCATCGCTACGCTCTTCAGGTCGTGGGCGATTCATCCTTACCCTAAGGCCCCAAAGTAGTTCCTTTTCTTGGTTCACCAATTTTATGGTGAGGATCCTATTAAAGAGTTTTGGTGAACCCAAAAAGGAACTACAATGGAGACCATAGGTAAACCCTAAGCCAGCTTCTCTTGCATTCTCTCCTGCCTCCCTAAACCCTAAACTAAACCCGTTGAATCGTAGTCTCCTGCCTCTCATAAGCAGCATCCCCACCCGCTCCGGTCTTCGATGTCTCCGTGGCTCTTGCAGAGAGTGGGGTGCATGACGTACTGCGTGGCTCACGCACAAGGACGGCTCCATGTGTTCTACTAGAGCCTAAGTGTAGGGGCTTGGGTTTAGGCTTTAAGGTGTAGGGTAATTGTGGGTGTTGGAAGCATGATAGAACCCTTTCCAAGCACTTACGAACCCGAATAACCCCTTCAAAGCCCTAAGAATCCTAAAACCATTTAAAAATTTAAAACCCTTGCCGTTATAGAACTCTCAAAGAACCCAATATTCCATGTCCCCAATGGGGATCTGTACCCTGGTAGAAAGCCATACAGAACACTCCTAGGACTGATTGTCTACAACAGACCCTGATAAACCCCTAGAGAAGCCCGATGGAACCACTTCAGCCTTCTGCACAGTGGACCCCAAACCCCAGATTTCCTGAACCAAAGCCATCATAGAACCCTAAATCCTGAACCCAACTCTCAAAACCCGAGCCCAGCTCCCAAAGCTCTGAACCCTAAACTCCCCAAGCGCTCCGCCTCGAACTTGATGTTTGGCTCTGCGGCCGTCACCGCCTCCAAGGTCACACCCTGACGATCAGAGGGAGCTTAAAACTCAAGGTTCGGGGTCAAGACGGCGTAGGGTGAAGGAATTTAGGCGTTTAGGTCTGGGTTCTCAAAGCGATTATCTCAAGCCTTCTATCTAGGGTTGATAAGGACTTGTTCATTACAAACAATTACTATAGGATTTCGTGTGTGGTTTAGGGTTTAAGAGCTGAGGGGCGAAGGGTGTAATATGTTGTTGTGATTGAAGTCTTCTTCAACCAATTTCACGCGGGTTTAGCGAGAGAGGTTTGCCAAGAGCCTTTTTTGGCCTGTAGTCTCGAATTCTTGCACCAAATGCATATGTGTGTGCTCCTTCCCTGATAGGGGGCTGCGTGTTCTGCCCAAGGTTTCAGGGAGCTTTCCCATGAGTCTGTAACATGAAAAGATCCAACGTATACCCTGTATGAATCTTAAAAGTTGGGATGCTAAACAAATCCTCATCCTCTTCCTCCTCATCCTCCTACTACTGCGACGACGACTACTACTAATAATAATAAGAAGAATAATGCTACTGCTGCTGCTACAGCTACTGCGACTGTGACTGCTACTACTGCTACCACTACTTCAGACCTGCTTATGTGTGAAACTCATGACACGTCCGCACACATGAACGCACCAAATGCGGAGCCCGGAGCTCCGAAAAAGTACACTAAAAACGCGATACCTATCGACGGCACCGCAGTGTCGTCCGTTTTCGGGTCTACCCACAGGCCCCAAAGTAGTTCCTTTCTGGGATTACCTTATAGAATTCTATGTACGAACCCCAAAAAGGAACTACTTTGGGGCCTTAGGGTAGGGACGTTGAGGGTTCGTGGTGTCGGAGCTCCATCAGGAGCGAAAACTCCCGAAAGCTCCGGCGAAGAACCCGGGTAAAGCACTCACTGGTCTCCTCTCATTTGTGGATTCCTTAGAAGGGGCCCCCACCCTGTAATAGTGGTATAATAGGAATATACTATTACAGGGTGGGGGCAGCTTCTAATGGATTCCACTCCGTCCCTTAATCAACAACTAACAACAGTCCCGACACAGCCGTGTAAGCACAGTTGCGGCATGGAGCATGTAGATACACGTGTCGCCAAACAAATTTGGCCACTGGTCTTGACAAAGACGATATCACCGTTAATACAAAAAATGCCCAGGACCCCGGCTGCACAAAAAACATGCCCTAAATTCGAAACCTAGGACCTAAGATCTTAAGCCCCTCAAAACCGAACCGCGACACCAGAGCCCCACACCCCCTGAAAACCTCGAAGCCCCAAAATCCCAAACCCCCAAACGCCTCAAGCGCAAATCCTAAAAAACTACAACCCGAAATGCCCAATAAACTCTTGACTTTCCACCCCACCTGCTTGGCCCTGGTCGGGTCGCCCCGCCGCTCTTTTCGCAGGATCTCACAAATCTCCTTGAAGTCCTGACTTCAATGAAGTTGCTGGGGCTGAACGCTTATAGGGTTAATCATGATTACAATCCGTACTTGCTGCTGATAAAAATGTAATACGGTGCAGGCACGGCGAAGCGTAGTCAAAGAGGCGCAGTCTGCTGCCAGGCCAAACATCCATACTGTCGCACTCGACACCAACCTCCATCCCTTCCAGCTTCTCGACCAGTGTTTGCACGACGTACGATGCAGAATCACATGCGCACTCGGAAAAGCCAAATTCTGCCAGACACGGCCGCCACTATTCCATGACTGCTTACAGCTTGAGCGCGACGGGCTGCATCTGTTCCACCTCAAACACATCACACATGCATTTCCGCATGCTGCCTCTTTCTGTGCATTGAAGGAGCAGGCCGCAACAGAAATGTGGAACAATGCACGCAACACTGAGTTTAAGAAGCAAGTGTTGTCTATTTTCGTGCGGCCTTCAATACTGCATGGTCCATTGGAAGCCAGTCGCTGATTGACGTGGTATAGAAATGTCCGATGCAGTGAACCTCACCTTTGTCCAGCCGATGCTGTCCCAAAGTCGGAGAGGCTGCGCTGGCGGCATCAAGTGTTCGACACAGCACAAGTGCAAAACACGTGTCTGCTTGTACGAAAGCTTGACACTTTCCACGCGGGTACTCATGCATGTTGACGAAGTCGCTCATGTGTTCTCGGAGAGCACAAACTCTGCTCGCCCGTCAAGAACATTGTCCGTGCCATTCGACGCCACAACTCCGTAGTTTTGCTTCCGGGCAGGATCAGCTCCGACCATGGATCGTTCAATGCCATGACACGAAGCCCGAAATCAAACCCAAGTCCCAGAAACGAAGCCTCCGCCTCCTCCTGCCGTGTCTATCGTTCGTCCACGGACGCGAACCCGGAAGACTTGAAGACCAGAAACAAGCCAGAAGGCAGACCCCCAAACCCCGGCAGCGAGCTTACGGCTTAGAAGGCCCTGCCCTGAACCCTACCTTAAACTACCATAACCTACTTTTTTGTAGGTTCTTATTATAAACCCCAATAAGGGATTTATAGGGACTCTACAAAAAAGTAGGTTTTGGTCGGTTAAGGTTAACTTTAAACAAAAAGCTCGACTGTCCGCATATGCCCTCAGCCCCCCGACTCTTCAAACCCACAACCCGAAACCTTAATTACGCCCAAAGCCTCAAGCCCCAACCGCTGAACCCTAAACCCTCGCAAGCATAATACAACCTTAACATGATAACTCTGATTAAACTCTTTGAGCCCGCAGAAACACCGCAAGCCCAGACCGTCGAGGTTCCTCAGGTGACGTTCATCTCCTCCAGCCCTGAACCCTAAACCTCAAGCCGGTATAAAACCGTCATAGAAATCTGAAAGGCCCTAAAATCTGAAAGGCCCTAAATCTAAAACCCAAACCTCCCTAAACTTCCCGGGTCCTTTAACCCAAAACCTCCCTAAACTTCCCGGGTCCTTGAGGTAGGCCAGGATCACCTTGAGCTGCCTGGCAGCGTTGTCCTCCGATTTCGCGGTCGGCAGCGAGGCTCTGGGGCTTTTTGCGAAGATTAGGACTTAAAGGGGATCCATAATAAGGGTTCCTTTTAAAGGGATCCATAAGGGGGGTAGGGTTTAGGTTTAGGGCCGTTTAGGGTTTAGGGGCAGGGTTTAGGGTTTAGGGGTTTAGGGTTTAGGGGTTTAGGGGGTTAGGGTTTAGGGTTTAGGCTGTTTCTGGAGGTTTTCTAGCGTCTACAAGGGTTTGAGGGTTTGGGGATCCAAGGTTTCGGAGCGTGAGGTTACTTGGCAAGCCCTAACCGGAAACCTTGTGCCTTGCCCCCTGTAGCCTTGGAGTCCGTAATGTAGGGGCCTTAAAAATCAGAACAGGGTTTTGGGGCCACCACACAAAAGTTGCTAGAAGGAAACAGTATAGGCAATTATAAAGGCCCCTATAATACACCCTATTCCTTCAATCAAGTCCCCACACCCACACTCCAGGCCTCAAAAGCCCCGAGGCCCTTAAACCTCAAAATCCCGAACCCCATGGCCCCACAACCCACGAAGCGTTCGATCCCCGAACCCCCTAAACCCCTAAACCCTAGACCCCTAAACCCTGATCCACATGCTCCAAAGCTCCCAAACCCTTGAACCCGAAAAGAATGACAGTGATCCGTTCATCCGTTTAGGGTCTAGGGTTTAGGGATCCGCCTTGAACCAAACCCTCGCAAACCCCTTCGTTGATGCCTGCTTCAACCCTATTCAAATTGAGTAGGCCGCTACATTAAACCCTGGCAGTAACCCGTAAAGGACCCCTTCAAGGGAACCCACCCGAAACCCTAACCTTGATAACCTGAGGGTAGCAGGACCCGGCTAGGAGCCCAAGCCCTCACACTAGGAGTTTTGATTAGGGGGACCCTTGGGGATACACCCTGTCAATGAGGCCCCTTTAAGAGAGCCAGAAGTCAGGGTAAGAAGGGCCCCCCCTAACGGGTCAATCCCTAAACCCTTAAACCCTAAACCTTCGGATAAGCCCTTCGATGGCTCCTTCTTTTTTCGGAAGGAGTCCTCGCCCTGATCCTGGCCGTCCTCACCTCCAGCGTCGCGAGCTCAGGCTTTAGCTTGAGGGTTAACGAGTAAGGGGTTTAGGGTGGCTGTAGGTTTTCAGGGCCGATGGGCTTTGCCTTCAACTGTGTAGGACTTACATAAAATTGAACGCTTCGGGCTGCCCGCAATACAGGCCTCGAGCTGGATGTGGGTTCGGCTCACCTTAGGTTGAAGCCTTCTTAAATTGAAAGAAGGTTTGGGGGTATAGCATAATCACATAATTTGCCATTTAGACCTTTGTATCTTGGCTTGGGGTTCTTACAAAGCTCCGATATACAGCCGTATATAGTAATTGATCGCTTACACTCTTATGTCTGAGCCCCAAACCCTCGACCTGTTCGTTCACTGAAAGCAGCTGTCGGTTTGGTGCGTGGGTCGAACAGGGCTATACGGCTATAACTTGGTTCCAAAATATCCCTTAAACACCTCATTTTTGAGAAGGATTTAGGATTTAGGGTTTAGGGGCTTAGGGTTTAGGGTTTAGGGTTTAGGGGTTTAGGGTTCATAGGGTAGGAGACCACGACATTGCCAAAACAAATTACCGCTGCACTTCGGAAACTCATAGGGATCCTTAGGGGTGTAGGGGGAGGGGGGGTAGGGGGCCTTACGGCCCATAATAGGGACTAATAAGGCCTATTTAAGGAAGTATAGTCCCCTACACCCCTCCCCCCTACACCCCTAAGGGTCCCTATGAGAAACCCTCAAACCACAAAGCTCCCAAGCCCTCGCCCCTTCAGCCCTCTGCCTGAAAGTGGAGCCCCAAGCGGGTTTAGGGTTTAGGGGTTCAGGGTTTAGGGTTTATATAGGATTTAGGGGTTTAGGGTTTAGGGGTTTAGGGGTTTAGGGTTTAGGGGTTTAGGGTTTAGGGCTTATACAGAATTTAGGGTTTAGGGTTGATTATAGGATTTAGCGTTTAGGGTTTATATAGGATTTAGGGTCTAGGCTTTAGGTAAGCCCTGGGGAATTAACTGCCTGTCTGCATACACTCCTGGAAGGCCTGCATGATCTTCATCGAAGTGTCATGTTGCATGCCGGCTGCACGGTCTTGCCGGTATTCTCCTGCCTGGATCTTGTCTGCATAGAACCACACAGCATTCTCCACATGTTCAAGCTTCCTCAAGACACGGCGAGTTAGAGTTGCTGCAATGACTGTGGCGGCTTCAGAGATGGCACACATCACTGCATTCACCATCATGCCGTCTATCTCCTCGATAGATCTCCCCTTTTGTCTTCCTGCTTTCGACTCTGTCCTTGTGCACACTGAAAGCAGCCCAAGAGTAAGGTATCCATGAAGCCGTGAAACTTCGAGAACATGCTAGAGCTTCGCATGCTTTTGTTGCACAGTCGCTAATGCACGCATTTGTTTAGCCTCATCGCTGCAACTTGAACGGTTTACCGGCCTCCTTCTGAAGATTCTCCTCAATCTCTGCCACCACAGAGCTCCAGTTCCATAACTTTCAGCCCTGGGATCCACAGCAAGGCCCAAGCGACTCTGCAGAACTCGTCTGATCTCGCAGCTCGGCGGGGTCCGTGCCCCAGGACTCCCAACCCGGGTTTATCGTCCCGGGGGTAAGGGCTGGGGCTTAGGACCTAAGGCTTGAAGTTTCACGTAGGTTGGATGTTAAGGGTTTTTCGGAGGGTTTAGGGTTTCGGGTTTATAGGACTTAACCTTCCGTTTAAAGGTTCTAGAACCCTCTGAAACAGAACAAGACCCCCGAACCTCCCGAAATGTCAAACCCCGAGCCCGCACTACCAACACAGCCCTCAGAAACCCCAAATTCGTTCAGCCCCCATACTTGCCCAAACCCTACTAAAATCAGGGTTTAGGCATTAAGAAGCCTAACCCTAGAACATCATAAACCCCAAAAGTGGAATCCCGACCCCAAATAAAATCGAAAAGTAGGGTTTACCTTAACCCTGAAGGACCTACCTGAAATCATAATAAGGAACCCTAAAAGGGTAGGTTATTCAGCGTTGAGGTAGGGTTTAGGGAGGTCGTCGAACTGGTTCCCACATTCCGACCCTAAACCGTCCACTCCGAACGGCCCAGCAAGAGACCGCCGCGGCCTTCCTGCTTGCTCTCATCATCGACAGGAGTCTGGGCGTGCTGGATGTTCTTCCTGGTCCAGAGCTCAGGATTCAAGGGACAGGGGTTTAGCTTCTATAGTATGGTCTTTGGGCCCAAAAGCCTTCATATATGAGTCCCTAGACCCTTAGGGTCCTAGTGGTTTGGGGTTATTCGGGGTCTGCTTCGAATTTGCATCAGGGTGCAGGGCTTCTAATAGGCATTGGGCCATAACAGGTTGATTCGACCCCCGTGCAGCTCCTGCGAGTTCTTGTCGTCGAAAATAGACTGAATTGTCGAAATACTAGCTTAACAATTCCGGGCTGCATCATCCGTGCAAGGA